TCTGGAGCATGGCGGATGCGATGGCCATCTCGACCTCTCTCACCCAAAGCAGGAGATTTTCACTATCCTTCCCCTAAATGACCTTAACGCTCATCATGAGCGGCTTAGGACGGGGAAGTCATCCGTTACTGGCGGTGGAGTCATAGACGCAAATGATGCAGACATCTTCTGCTGCAGGTGCTCTAGCAGCGTGTTTTCGTAATTTATAAACGCCTCTGGACGCACCACAATTGCCTCAGGGCCTTCCGCAGTAAGGTGTTGCACGCCCTCAGGGCCACGGCAGGACATCAGCTTGTTTAGCCCGTCCTACATGCCCTGGGGCAAAAAAAAATTCTTCCATCCTCACATCAATTCAGTCTAAACGAATCAGGTGTAGATTGATCACAAGTGCTACCAAGTGCAGCGGGGCTGCCGTAGTGTTGCGCGTAGAGGAAGCGTAATTTAGGTCACCGACCTTTCGTTTTATACTTAGAACAAGTACGAGTTTGCAGATCGCAACCCGCTTACTCCGAGAGTAATTATTGCCTTAACCCAAGGCTAATTACACTTTCGTTGAAAATTCAAAGGTTATTTTTTTATTTTTATCTGCGGCAAAGCCGTCTAAATTTGAATGTTTAGATTTTCCGAGATATATATAGTAAAATCTCAATACATGCATAATTACTGGCTACCTAACCATATTCAGTATTTTTGTTTGGGTGCAATCACACCATGTCCATCTCGTGTGACACCCCCCTGCTATCAGGGTACATGTAACCTCGTTACACCTGGTGCCGGAGCCGCTTACGATCTGGGGCACTCTCGGTATTTCTTTTTTGTTTAGTAGAGGCAGCCTCACCCATCACAACGCACTTTTGTGAAAAGGCGCTGCTCATAACAGTTCATAAACGCAACACTCATGCCTGTGCGTCGAGGAAGCGATTCCCGACGTGGTAGAAGAAAAACTTCGTGCGAGCTTAAAAGCAGCAGATTTGCAACTGAATCAAAATGAGTTTATACATGCAAAATACCTCAAGGGCTCCTCAGGGTTTAACTTCTTAAACATTGGGTTCCTTAGAGGAAAGTTGTACAATCAAGGGTGTAATGAGGTTACACCTCAGCTTGAACCCAAAAAAGATCTTGGTTATACGGATCTTGAAGTTCGAAACTCCTGAGCTTCAACTTTCATGAAGACTTTGTAACATAAGTGACTGACTTAAACCGCCCACTTCGAAAGACACAAACACGCCGGTGTCGTCGCCAGTACGAATCCCCAAGTAGGAGCCAGCATTTTGTATCACACAGAATGTTTGACTTCGGATGAGATGTCACATATGCATGTAGAACACCATACTGTTATTTTTTCGTATTAATTAATCATCACAATACAAACAATAGCTCCATAGAAATACCTTCATGTAATGGCTAAGTGAAGTCCATTGCATCACTCCACTAATGGGATGCGACCGATATTGTATTGAAAACCAACGCTAGTTGGGAGCTACAACTGATGGTCATGGAGACAAGCAAGAAAGTGATATGATGATATGACATATATCATTGCGTCGTTTTTCGTTCTTTGCAAAATCAAATATCACACGACGCCCCAGGCAGATGTCCGCCCTGCGGGAGCAGCCTTGTAAAGCCTTTATCCGGGTGAGACGGCGTATTTTCTCATTCAGATCTCTTGTTGAATCATTTACTATGCGTTACTTTTGCCCAACTTCTACTTTCCAAGGTACATCGTTAAAGGATCGTCAGAAATCCGCACCAGCCGCTGCTCCAAGCGCAGGGAGATTGTAACGGGGTTCCACGTGCCCTTGTTTGAAGGTGCGGGTCACACAAGATGGTGTGACCAGGCTACACCTAAACAAGAGGTCAGTACGTGGCTAGTACACCCAGTAGTTATACATTTAATGAGGTTGTACTAGATAGCTGGGAAAATCTATTGATTACGATATAGGCGGTTTTGCAGCAAAACCCGAGAAATACAATTTACCTTTTAAACGAAAGAGTTAATTAGCATTGAGTTAAGGTGGTTATTACTCTTGGAGTAAGTGGATCGCGATCCGCCACACTCGTACAGGTTCTAAGTATATAACGAAGGTCACCGACTTTAACCAAGCATCCTTCTAAGCGAAACAGCAACGGCAACCCGCTGCAAAGATGGTGTCTTGTTGGTGGCTTTTTACTATAACTACGCATGTAGTTGCCAACCCACTATCTGAAGTCATTTTAAGACAATGACGCCGCCAACTCTCGATGGTCTTACTTTTGCAGGTGCTGCGCATAGTCAGTGATTTTTTATTAGGCTTCTTAATTATGAAACTCGTCGGCGCTTGAAACACGCTTAATGTCTTAGCTGAAAAAACAGATTGTGTCAGAGCATTTACGTGAAATACGCTCGCAATTATTTGATGTGGATGTTCATGTCCGATGTCTGTTCCCATGCTCTTCACATGAACAGATAAATGAACTAAACGGGTTAACGAATTGCGCGATGTGGCTAGAACATCAACATTGTCATTTATTTGAGTATGTCGGCGCGGACGATTGTCTATGGGTCATTATAAAGCACCTAAAGCATCTCACTTTTGTAGTTACCGCGAAAAGAGGTATACCATATGAGTATTTGATGATCTTCAACAACTGTATCAAGAGCAATGGACGAGGCGCCACCGACCGTGTTGTTCTGCAGCATGTCTTATTCTACTATCGGCGTGTGCTCCAAAATAGTGACTACAGTCGGCTTTTGTAAGCTTGCACAATTCGCCATTTTGAGACAGCCAGACGAAGCCAAATTTACTAGGTAATCTCTCCGACCACCTCCGCATTGTGATTTGCGCGAAAAAGCATTGAACACCACACTTTTCCTTGGTAACGTTCTTTGGATCTTTGCAACGAAGCTGCCGTAGCTCTTTTGCTTAGAGGAAGCCTTGTTAAAGTCAGTGACCTTCGTCCTATACTTAGAGCAAGTACGAGTGTAGCTAATCGCGATCTACTTACTTTAAGAGAAATAACCACCTTAATTCAATGCTAATTAACTCCTTTGTTCAAAAATTTAGATATA